ATACCGGCATTGAGAATGAGGGCATCGAGATGTCCGTATATCTTCACCGCAGAGTCGACCGCGTGCGCAACGACATCCTTATCTGTGCTGAACGCCAGGTACTGAGACGGATGCGGACCGAGGAGACCACAAGACTAACACGTCGCCCTTTGTGATCAGTAATGAGTTTGAGTGCGACTGCTTGAGCTCAGTCAGCTCTATAGTTTCCGAGCGCGACAGTGCGACCACGTTCGCATTGAATTCAGCAAGCAGGGTCTTGGTGGCTGCGAGACCGAGACCTCTGTGACAATAGTTCAGCCAGCCGAATCCAGAACGACAGAACGAATGACGATGCACTTGGATGCGCCGGTGATCAGGACGACTGCTTTACGAGCCATTTGGGCGGGATGAGACGACTAAGGCGCGGACGCTGGGGAACTTGTGCAGAAATGAGACGAGAGATGGGTTCGCACGCTGAGATGTCGCGCGAGGCCGCCGTCCCGAGAGGCGCCGAGCCAGCACACACTGGCGTCCTTGCCTCACCAATCCTTCCCAATCCCGTTATTCTCCTCTCCTCCCAAAAGCCATGTCGACGCGAGTCGCATTCTCCCGCTTCGCCCCAGCTGTAACCCGCGCGCACAGGGCCCCCGCGTTCGCGGCGCGTCGAGCTGCACTCGTACGCGGCTATGCTTCGCAGAGCGAACACACTGTTCGTGTATCCGCGTTCGTCGACATCTTCTACAGCACTAATTACACCCATTTGCACAGCTGACTGTTCGTGATGCTCTCAATGCCGCCCTGGAGGAGGAGATGTTGCGGGACGAGAAGGTGTTCGTCATTGGTGAGGAAGTCGCTCGGTACAACGGCGCATATAAGGTTCGTGTCAAGCGTCAGCTTGCGGGGGGCATTCACGGAGCAGATATTGTTATAGGTCACCAAGGGCCTGATGGACAAGTTTGGCGAGAAACGTGTGGTTGACACTCCCATTACTGAGATGGGTTTCGCTGGCCTTGCGACTGGTGCTGCCTTCGCTGGTCTCCGGCCAGTGTGAGTAGTGTTCCTCCCGTGCAGTTCCTGATGGCTCATGGGACCGTGTACTTCTAGTTGCGAGTTCATGACCTTCAATTTTGCGATGCAGGCCATTGACCAGATCGTCAACTCCGCCGCAAAGACACTTTACATGTCAGGCGGTTTCCTTACCTGCCCGATCGTCTTCCGTGGTCCCAACGGTGCCGCCTCTGGTGTCGCCGCGCAGCACTCACAGGACTACGCTGCATGGTACGGCTCGATACCTGGTCTGAAGGTTGTCAGCCCTTGGAGTGCCGAGGACTGCAAGGGCCTCCTCAAGGTCTGCTCCGGTCCAGCGTGAGCTTCAAGGTGTTTGCTAAATTCGTTCGCATTGACAGGCTGCCATCCGCGACCCCAACCCTGTTGTGTTCCTTGAGAACGAGATGCTGTACGGTGTCAGCTTCCCCATGTCGCAGGAGGCGATGTCGGACGACTTCGTCCTCCCGATCGGCAAATGCAAGATCGAGCGCGAGGGCAGCGACGTCACCATTGTTGCGCACAGCTTGATGGTGGCACGGAGTCTAGAGGCGGCCGAGGAGCTCGCGAAGGAGGGTGTCAAGGCAGAAGTCATCAACCTTCGCAGTATCCGCCCGCTTGACATCGAGACTATCAAGAACTCCGTCAAAAAGACCAACCGGTACGTATAATCGGGGCTGAACGATTACATAGGGGAGCTTACAGGTGGAGTAGACTCGTCGTTGTCGAGGGTGGCTTCCCGGCCTTCGGTGTCGGTAGCGAGATCTGTGCTCAGATCGTCGAGAGCGAAGCCTTCGACTACCTCGATGCACCGGTCGAGCGCGTCACTGGTGCCGATGTCCCTACACCTGTAAGTCCAGCGATAACAGTATGTCCCGGCTACTCCTAACTTTCGGACTCAGTACGCAATCAACCTCGAGGCTCATGCCTTCCCCGACGCGCCAGTTATCAGCAAGGTGGCGAAGCGGGCACTCTACAGGACCAACTAGAGGATCTTGAGCTGTTGCTCGTGTCACGCAGGGTTGGATGAGTGCATAGGAGGTACGGTTACGTTCTTTGGATGGGCTGCGCAGATGTGTTACGTATAACTTACAGTAGGGACACTTCTTGCTATATAATTTACACCCCTTGCTGTCTAGAGCACTGATACATATTCTGCCCCTCAGAGGGCTCGCAGACGAATGCGGACCGCGTTCGCGTGGGCGTCCAGACCCTCGCAATCCGCCAACGTTGCTACCACGGGACCGAGGACCTTGAGGCCGTCCGAGCTGACTTCTTGCGACGTGATATGCTTTTGGAAAGACAGTGTATTGACCCCACTGAACTGGCGAGCATAGCCATTCGTCGGCAACGTGTGGTTCGTGCCCGAGGCATAGTCGCCGCAACTGAAGACCCTTATCAGCACGGCGCTGTGGACGAGACGGATGTGCCTTACCTCTCCGGCGAGTATGGTCCGACAAACACGCTTCCGGCATTTTCAACCAGAGCGACAGCCGCTTTCGCGTCCTGCAAGTGGATGATCAAGTGTTCCGGTGCATAATCGTTCGAAAACCGCAGTGCTTCCTCGACCGTCTTCACCTTGACGATAATGCTCTTCGCGATCGATTCGCGGAGAATATCCACGCGCGTGAGGGCCTTCGCCTGCTTATCGAGCTCAGCCTCAACCGCGGCAAGCTCCGTATCCGAGAGATCGACCGCAACGAGGACGACCTGGGAATCCACGCCGTGCTCCGCCTGCGACAGCAGGTCCGCAGCGACGAACGCAGGGTTACCTGTGCGATCGGCAATGACCTGCGATGAAATGAAATCTCAGAACCAGGGCGAGCACAGACGAAATGGAGCGGGTACCCACGAGCACTTCCGATGGCCCCGCGGGCATGTCGATCGAGACGAGCGCGTCGGTGTCGTTCTGGACGAGCATCTTCGCCGCGGTGACCCACTGGTTGCCCGGGCCGAAGATCTTGTCGACCTTCGGGACGGTCTGCGTGCCGTACGCGAGCGCGGAGACGGCCTGCGCGCCGCCGGCCTTGAGGATCGCGGACGCGCCGACGAGCTTGGCGACGTACATGACCTCGGGGGAGATGCTCCCGTCCTGCCTCGGCGGCGTCGCCATCACGACCTCCTTGCAGCCCGCGACTTGCGCGGGGATGCCGAGCATGAGCGCGGTGGAGGGGAGGATCGCGGTGCCGCCGGGGACGTACAGACCGACGCGCGCGATCGGCTTCGCGAAGCGGGAGCAGACCACGCCCGGCATGGTCTCGACGACCATGGACGCGTTCTCCGCCTGTGCGGCGTGGAACTTGTAGATGTTCGCGTACGCGGCGTCGATCGCCTTTCGCACCTCTTCGTCGAGCCGCATCGTCTCGGGCGCGAACGGGGGGCGGACGACCGTCGACGAGAGCTGCACCTTGTCGAACTTGGCGGTGAGCTCGAGCAGCGCGGCGTCGCCCCGTAGGCGCACGTCGTCGACGATGGGCTTGACCTTTTGCAGCATCTCGTCGTACTTGAGCACAGGTCGGCGGAGAAGTTGGGCCCTCTCCTGGGGTGAGGTCACGGAGAGGTCGTACGTGTGCATGCGGATAGATGCATTCGGGTCGACGGAAGCCTTCTGCTTTGCGGACGCTGGCGCAGGAGGCGGAGCTGTGTCGTTCGTCGCTGCCACTGTCTCCGAGGCCTTGGTCCACTGCGGCTTCGCATTGCCCGCGCGACGGGTGACTTTCTTTGCCTTTCGGTCCAAAGATCGCTCAATGTCGGCGACGCTGACCCCTGCAGCCACGCAGCGGGTGAGGGCGAAGTAGACGAGGTCGGCAGCCTCAAAGGCGACCTCGTCCTTCGTCTCCGCCCGGCAGAGCTCGTCTGCCTCTTCCATGACCTTCGCCCGGAGAAGGGCAGGGTCATCGAAGAGTCTGCGCGTGTAGGAGCCCTCTGGTGCAGACTCGAGGCGAGACTGTAGCGTCTTCTCCAGCGCCAGCAGGCCCTTGGTCTCGCTCGCACCGAAGCAAGATGGGCGGTTGAGGTGACAGAACCCTGCACCGCGCTGGATAACGGAGAACTCGAGGGCGTCAGAGTCGCAGTCTAGACGGATGCCGACGACTTCTTGGGTTGCACCAGAGGTCTCGCCCTTGCGCCAGAGACCATGCTTGCGGGACTGGTACACGCCCTTGCCGCTCACGATGCTCTCCCTGATCGACTCTTGCGACGAATATACTAGGCCCAGGGAACGACCGCCTTCATTGTATGAAGAGACTACAGTAGGGATGAGACCGTCTGGTCGATCAGACGTGAGAGGGGATAGGAACGCATCAGCGACGTTGATCTGGCGCTCAGTCGAGGCTGTGAGAGTGAGGAGGGCAGTGGGTAGCACCAGGATAGCCCCCGCGGCGAGGAGGCCTCGTATCGTAGACTGGGAAGGGGGCGAGGTCATGTCCGCAGGCAGGACATGGATCGTGGAAGCTGTGAAGAAGCGCGAGACGGACGACACGAAGTCGACGTCCACGGCCGGGGTCTTGATGAGCACGCCCGAGATGCCATTGCGCACCGTGTCGGATACTGCGCTGACGCTGGCGACGTCGAGAAGAAGGATGAGGCGGTCAGCGGGCAGGACGCCGATGGCCTGCTTCGCATGGGCAAGGGGCAAGATGATTTTGTCTGCGCCTTGATCGAGTAGAGAAGTCGCTTCATCTAGGTCGCCGTTCTCGAGGAGGATGTAGCGAGAGGTGTGGTCGGGGAGCACGGAGGCACTGCCATGCGCTGCTGGAAGGACAACAGGCCCAATCCTTGCGAGCGCGAGCGCCAGGGCGTCGTCTGTGACGCTGTCGAGGAGAGGGAGGAAGACAGACATGGCGCGCAAATATGACTGCCGCTCCCTGTCCACCGATCGCACTCATAGCAAATGTCCGCGCGTGGCTGCGCACCGTGCGCATAATGCTGGGTCATCGAATACTGATCAATTACCTTCGCAAGCCCTTGCATGCCGAGGCTTTGTAGTGTAGTGGTTATCACAGCGGATTCTGATGCCTCACACTGCTAAGATTTCCGTTAACCCAGGTTCGAGTCCTGGCAAGGCCTTATTTTTATGTCAGGTCTACCATGGTAAGTAAGTACTGTACGTTTCAAGCCTGAGCCTGAGGAGTCCCGAGTTTCGTGGCAGGCTGTGTGCTTGTGATCGTGATCGAAGTCGATCAGTACGGTTACATAATGGCTAATCGGTCGCGAGCTGGGCCGCCTATCATACATACGGACAGGTATCTCACCTTATCTGGACTGCCATTACCCCTCACTCATCCTTCCTTTTCTTGCTAGTGTTGTGCACTTCGTTTTCTGTAGAGTACAGATTCAGTTTCTTCCAAGTTGATTCGAGGTGTCGTCGGCGGCGGCTCCTCGTGGTGCTGTGTACTGGGCGAGTCACGGCGCTGGACCCCAAGCTGCCAGTGGTTGAGGTGGCAGCCCTCCCAGTCTCATTGGGCGCGGCAACAACTCTACTGAGAGCATGCCTGCCGAGCCCCCGACCTCGGTAACCATGGTTAGGGTAAGACGAAGTGGTTCGTCGCAATTAGGAGTTTCTTCCGACCCGAACCCATCTCAACGTGGAAATGCCTGAGGACACCATCCATCATTATGATGGTAAGTAGTTACTACCCGTACAATATGCCTCACCTGCTGGTCTCTTTCCCTGCCGCAGTGGTTATTTCACCAGACAAAAGGGTTCCTCGCGGCTGCACATGCAGATCCCGGCAGTGTCAAGCACTGAGCAAATAATACAGTCATAATCTAATCATGACACTCATGTTTGTACCATCAGTCTTAGTGGCATCCAGGTACGTTTTGATTGTATATTCATATATGGGCACCGGCTAATGTTGCTTGTAGCAAGGTGTTAAGATGCAGTGCCTGAGGGCTGAGAAGTGTAAGAAGGCGATGCTGCAGTATCACGCAAACGTGTGCTTGAAGTAGGTCTTCCGATTCTCTGATCTCTCAAAGCAATCGTTAAAGCATCATGGTCGCATTATGGGATCAACGTGAAGCTCGGCGGCATCAACATCATTCCGGATCCACGCTCATTGGCCGTCTTGATAGAGACACATAACTAGACTACTATCGTGATAGGGTAGATACCCTCGCATCCTAGGTGTACGAACTTCGTTGACCACCGAGTGAACAGTGCCGACGACATCCACCCTCCCCCCGGAGCTGGGGCTCGTCCCTCCTTCACGGCAAATGTGAATTCCGACACCGCTAAGTATTTAGCGGGCCGCCGCGCGCAGACATCACGTCAAGAACTCATCGAAGACCTGGAGAGCATGAGTCAGGTGAGCGCGTGTAGGGTGGTCGCCCAAGTTTACTTGCGGGTATTCATGCATCCTCAGCGTATGCTCGATCACTACATGGGCTACCGCACGCGCGTGGAAAAGAAGACGAACGTCGCGCCTACGCGCATCATCTTCTATCGGGGTACGGTACTTCCTTGACGCTCGCACCCATTTCAGGGGCGTGCAACAAGCTCCAGATCAGCCCCAAGAATACCATGATTGTCGTTGGGAAGCACCATCGCATTAGGTTCTTCCCCTAGGGCGACTCGGAGATGGACCGCGACAAAAGCGGAAATGCCCAGCTGGCACGGTCGTAGACCGGGAAATTACACACTTACTCGAGCTCGATTGGTATCTGCAGAGGCACGCTGGATCAGTTGTATTCTACCACCTCCCCTGCCATGGAACTGACAACAGCCCTTGAATTATATACGCTGCTGGGCACCGCGCATCACAGCGTATTGCATGATGAGAACAATTTTACGTATGTCGACTTCACTGCTGAATCGTGTGGGCCATCCCTTATCATCGCATCGCTTCTACTTAGGCCCGACAACCTGCAGGCATTTTCTTTCGCGCTTTGTCATATCTACGCGCGGTCGACACGATCTGTCTCGATCCCCGCACCCGTCTATTGTGAGTAGCAACCCCATTAACGCGACACGTTCTGTGTTCGTGCCCACGATCATATGTGTACAGATGCAGATATCGTCTGTACACGAGTAAAAGACTATTACAGCCCAAAGGGGTCCGTGAGAGCTCATCCGGGAATATTGCCGAGTTCAAGGAGAAGTTCGAACGACTGCACCCCAACTATTCCAAATTCATGTACTTCTCTTGAGTGCGTCGTCGTCGGGGCCACGCACGCCGCTATCCATCTTGCCTCCGAAGCTTGCTCTCTACTGTCTTGCATACGTGCCAGTGATGTAGTCTCAGCTCAGGATGTATCATCACCCACCGTGTTATGTACTAGTAGTATCATGAGTTGCCTCGCCACTCCTCTTGCCGTGCGTGAATCTGACTCGAGAAAGTGCCAAACTGTATTCTCGCATCTAGCTAAAGTCACAAAGGAAAATATCGGGTCACAAATGTTGCCGGTCATTAATGCATTCCACAGGCTTTCACCGGGCGCTTATGCGTAACTTGCGTCTTGTCCCAGCCGACGTCTCACACCCAACTCCAAATTCTCGATCTGTCGGTGCTGTATAATGAGACGACGAGTCGCGTTTGATCTAAAGCTTGGTTTGCCTAGAGAAACTATGCTCGATCGTCTGATGGCAAGCCAACTGGCCCTCCCTTGTGCGCATTTTGCGCCTCCAGACAACCGACTTCTTGAAGCCTGCCAGATCCTCTGGTTCGCTGGCAGGTAATCCTTCGCCTCCATCTTTCATCCCCAGAAAATTGCATGCAAATCAACAACTAGCACGCTGGCTGCGCTCGTTGCAATGCCAATATATAGCCTGCGCGTTGTCTACCTGTCTGTGCCACGCTGAACATGTCTCCTCTGGTGTGTTTCTCTACATGCTCTACAACGACTCCTGCTCACTGTTTGGTGCATCCAGTACCTGAACCGGCTAGAGCTGCCTGGGCGCGGACCAACGTCTTAATACGAAGTCGGCAGGGTATAAGTAATCCGCTGCTGAACAGCCGGCAATACGGTTTCGGTCTTCATCCGCGCTGCGTCTCCCGTACGTGTCGGGCTGTTGGGTAGGTACTGGCTCTAGGATATTGAAGTCTGACCTAGGCTCTACACTTATGTCTTTGACGCTCTCAAGGACGGGCCGCGCAGACTCACGGATATTATCATCTGCAAGCTCAACAAGGCCGCCGGAGACCATTCACGCAGTATCTGTGTTTTCCTAACCTGGTACAGCAAGCCTGCTCTGTGAATGTATGTTTTCTAATTATGCGCTGCGCAACCGTGTTCTTCATTATGTATATCAGAAGACCCTAGATACACGTGCTCGAGACGGTAGTCTCTACTCCAACAATTGGGTATAGTTCGCCTTACATTTTCCCTCGGGGCAGATCGGAACTCAGGGTCCTTTCAACCCAAGGCTAATGCGACTCCCATGTGCAACCGACAGAGGAGAGACACCGCGCTGGCTCTTACGTTCTCCAATGCAATGCACATTGGCGTCGCTGGCAGACACCCTGGTTTCAACCGTACTGAGCTTTGGCTCTGCCCAAATTGTCTTGGGAAAGGGTAATGTCAGCGCAAGCTGTAAGATTGACGAGGATGGATCGAGATGATGGGGCACCGCTTTAGACTCCGGCTGCGAGGATATTCAGTACGTTCTCCCTCAACATGCGCTGGGTTACGACATGATTGTTCTGTTGTAGCATTTCCGCATGGGATAAGATAAGGACTAGAGCGAGAGGCCGCAGAACGACATTTCGGGAGGTACGTGTGCTCGTGCGGCGCGCGAGAGATTAGGTAACCAGTGAAGGTTCGGTAGGATGGATATCACCCAATAGTCCTCGAGGCAGTGTGTCGCTATTCATACGAATGTCACATTAGCAGGCTTCTGAAGCCAGTCGAGTAAGAACCGCCCACTAATTCGTTTGAGGTATCTCATCGTCTAAGACAGGAGTGGTTAGCTGTTCAAGCTGAGAACAACTCAGGGAAGCGTCGTTTCACCGTGAACGTAGCTGGAGTCGATCTCAGCAAGACTAGTCTCCACAGTGTTTGGTATACGGATGGGCAGGTCGTCCTTGTTTTCACATTTTGCGGATGCATTCCGACGGTTTTTTGATAGGAGAAAATCCGACGCGAGGCAGCGACGTGGGTGGCCGGTTACACGTGATCGCGTTTTCCGAGCAATATCGGGGTGGCGAGCGCCTGACAAGCCTTGCTCACAACCGAGGGCGAGAACTGAAGGTAAGCGAACAGGATGCTCGTGTCGTCCGTACATTTCAGTCGCAGATCCTCGTGCGCCTAATTTGCAGAGCCCAGACTCTCTACTATCCGAGTATCTTAGCCCAGGGAACGAGGACTACTTCGGCAAGCCAAAACCTTCCCGTGGCTGGATCCAGCTCTCGCTCCTAGCTGAGTCGCTTCTCCTGCACGCGTCCTGACATCAGCTGGCTTCCCTTATGCTCGGTGGTCCTAGGGCTGTACCCTCTTTTTGTCCCCGAGATCAGAGCGTGGATGCCGCGAGGTCAAAAGCGCTTTAGCCGCGGCGCACCTGCTTGCGAAGTGGGCGTCGCCCTTTCCGTCTACAAGCCTGGCAAGTGAACCGACAGGGACATTTCATCTCCGAGGCTAGCTTTGCGCTCTTCTTCCGTCTGTGGTCCCTCTGGCTTCTTGCGTCGCATTTCTATCTAGGAGGGGCATGTACTCCGGTCTGTGCGGATATAAGAACGACTGACGTTCTGACACCTCTGACGACTGCGCCTTGGCTCCTCTGCGCTTGGTTGCGCCACACTCCGGCTTTGGAGCTGCTCAACATATATAGACTCGTCCTGACGCCTGTGGATACCCCGACGCAACTGCTGTCCTCGAACCTACCAGCTCCCAGAGTCGTCATTCGCGATGCCACCACACAGGAATATGGGCTGGAGGAAACCCGTCCCCAAGTTCATTCCCGACACTCCTGCCTCTCTCTCTCGATTCAGTTCCACGTCATTCAAGAGACTTTCCTTTTCCCAGCTTGATAAGGAAGTACCGCCGGTAAGGATCTTTCCCGCAGTCGGCCTTCTGAAGCTCGTACTGAATGGCCTTCTGGGAAATCAGCTGCCGGACGATTGGCTTCTTAA